ATCCATATCTTCCCCCCAGGTGTGGTGGCTCACACCTGTAATCCCAGCACTCGGGAGGCTGAGACAGGAGGATTGTTGTGAGTTCGAGACCAGCTTGGGCTACAAAATGAGCTCAAGGCCAACCTGAACTGCATAGCGAGACCCTGTCTCAAAAAAAGACAAAAAAAAAAAAAAAAAAAAAAAAAAGAAAAAGAAAAAAAAGTTATCCATATCTTCATTTATGTTTAGATTAAACAAACTAAAGCAAGTTAAAATTATTCTGAACAAAGAATAATAGTACTGCTGGATTTCATATCATGACACTCCTTGATCAGCACTGGATACTGTAGTGTCTTCTTTTTAAAACTGAATTTAAAGAAAGACTAAAAAAACAGAAAATGGGTAGAAATAATACATAATTTCAAAGAAAAAATAAATGGTAAGAAATCACTAGTTGATGATTACAGATTGTCTTCTTACAAATAGTTATTCAAGATACTAAAGTGGAGCATATAAAGTGGGGATTCAAACAGTGAGATTGCAACCAGTTCTGTTCAACTATGCAACAAAAACTTAGAAATATGGTTAGCAATCCTATACACTTAAACATATATGCATTTACCCATATCTTCAATTATGCTGACTTTCAATAAACCCAAGCAGGCTAACATCACTCTGAACAAAGAATAACACTATTGCTGGGTTTCACATTATGACACTCCAGGATCAGCACTGGCTATGCTAGTGTCTCCTTTTCTTCAAAGTATCTGTTCATTTCATCAATTGTCATAAGATCAGTTCTCATAAACTGTTTGTAGATTCTACACATGCATGAGTCTTAACATGTATTTTTTTAAAAATTTGAAAGTAGTAAAAATGCAACAGCACAAGACAGAACAAAGCCAATCAAGACAATGCAGTGAAATTGGTACAGGATTTCACAGTAGGATGCTGGGATAGTAGTAATAAGTACTATGGTATATCTCTTTAACTTAACAATAGCTGTCCAGTCAATTATGTATTGTAAAATCAAACCAAAAATAGAACATTGTAAAACCAATTGAGAATACTGAATAGAGCAAAAGAAACATAACAAAACAGTGAAAACAACCTATGCCTTCAAACAGAAGATAGAAGGAAATCTATACTGCATATGGTCATCCTCCCAAGAGATGTTGAAACATCTGTCCCCAGTAGCTAAGGGGGGAGGGGGCAGGTGGGAGAAGGGTGCTTGATTTTCAGCTCACGTGGCAGTAGGCTCACAGGTAATGGTTCTTCTCCAGGCCCAAGCTGCAGGTGCTTACCAAGAGGGTGGGTGAATAAGCTGCCTGAGTCCCTCCATGGCCGGATCTCTGGAGCTCTGTTCTCTAATAGCTTTTAATATTCTGTTCTTATATTTAATTTCTGGGATCTTGATTATTATATGCCTGGGTGTGGCTCTGTTTTGGTTGTAGGTGGCTGGAGTTCTGTATGCTTCATACATCAGAATATCATTTCCTTTTTCTATGTTTGGGAAGTTTTCCTTAATTATTTCTGTGAGTAGCCTTTGTAGTTATTTTGTTTGTACTCCTGCTTCTTCATTCACATTCTCAAGTTATAGATCCTCTTTTCGTCTTCTAGCCTTTGTATTGTTACTTCTTGTTTCCTTGTTATTTTTAAAAAGTTTTTCCTTTTGTAATCTCACATTCAAAACCTGTCCTTAAGTTTGGATAATCTATCGTTAGTTTCTTTCAAGCACTTTTGCCAGCTTTTAATGGAGTTTTTAATTTCCTGGTAATCTCTTCAAATCTGCTTCATGTATTCTATATTTTGTTTATATTCTTCATCAAATGGTTCTCTCCTTTGTGTTCCTCCATTCTTCCATCTGTGTCTTCTTGAGAGGTGTTTAGCATTTATTTTATTAATCTATTTATATCTTGCTCTACTTGGTTAAATATTTCACTTTTGAACTCGTCTATTAGGTCTCAAATATATTTCTTTTTTTTTTTTTTTTTGTCTTTTTCATTTTTACCGGTACCAGGGATTGAACTCATGACTGCCTGCTTGCAAGGCAGGCACTCATGCTGCTGAGCTAAATTCCCAGCCCCCAAATATATTTCTTTATGTCTATTGATGTGTCTGATATAGCATGTTTCCTGTCCTCAATTTCTTTTGTATGTACCTTTATCTATTTATTTATTTTTTTGAGATGGGGTCTCCCTATGCAGTTTAGGCTGGCCTTGAGCTCACTGTGTAGCCCAGGCTGGTCTGGAGCTTGCAATGATCCTCCCACCTCAGCCTCCTGAGTGCTGGGATTACAGGCATGAGCCACCATGCCTGGCATATGTACCTTTCTTGGATCAATGTTCTCAGGGTTGGGGGCTGGGGGTTTTTTCTTATTGTTTCCTCTTCTCATATTTTTTGTTTCTTCCATATAGGCATGTAAAGAAGGGCCCAGTCCCTTTTTTTGTTGTTGTTGATTCTGGTTCTTCTGAAGTGCTGCTGGCTAGGTGACCTTGCCTACTTCAGTGCGCTGTTGAAGTGCAAATAGGGACGGTGTGTGTTGGCCCCTCCCCTCCGGGTCAGCTTTCTCGCTGAGGCCTTCACCTGCCTTAGTGTGCGAGCCCATAGGGAATTGGTCTGGGACACCCTGTTGGTTCCCAGCCAGGGGCATGACCCAGGCCAAATACATCTGACCAATCCTGTCTGGGAAGGGAACAATGGACTGAAGTCTCTGCAGTACCTTGTTTTTGTCAGTCCTGCCCAGTTCCAAGATGTCATTCCCTTTCCCATGGAAAGGTTTTATTCCCGACACTCACAGCAGGTCAATGCAGGTCCCCCAGTGGCTCCACCCTTTGTTGGTCTTGTCGATTCCCGACCTCAGTGTGCCTGCGCCCTAGCGCAACCACAGCTCCAGAAGCAGCAGGAGCCTGGGCAGTTTGCTGAGTAGCAGCCGCGCAAGTTTGGGCACGCCAGCTAGTGCAGTTCTCTGGTTCTCTGCTCCCTCCTGCCCTTACATCTCCTCACCAAGGCTTTCAGGCTGGCCCACCAGCAGCTTCACTGTACCCCTGCATCTCTGGGTTCCAACAGTGCTTCTGGCACAGCTGGACCGGCTCTGGTGAGAGCGCTGCCAGCTACTGCCTTCTTCTGTTCAAGTTTTTCTTCTCTAAATTCTTTCTGTGGGCTTCAATTCTCACTTTAGTTTCTTCCTTGGTCAAGGGGATCTGCGTCTGTCCTGCTTTTCCTTATCCAGAATGCTATATTCGATCATCTGGGCTGTTTCTCTCCGGGAGGCTTTTTAGTTTGCTGCTTACTGTTCTGCCGTGTTCCCAGACCCCCTCTCAGTAAGTAAAACAGTATTGTTCCCCTAATTTCTTTCTTGGTGAATTTGTTACTGGTGTATAGGAATGCTATTGATTGTTGACTGTTGATTTTGTGTCCCACTATGGCAAGAATTTGGCTATTAAATTCTAGGAGTCTTTCAGTCAAAGCACCATATCCTAGCTGCTAGATCACTGGGAAGGATTTCTAGGAGTCTCTTGGTGTTTTGAGGATCTTCTATGTAGAGGATCAAATTTTCTGCCAATAATTATAATGTAACTTCTTCTTTCCTACCCATGTTCCTTTCTTTCTCTTGTCTAATTGCTCTAATGTTTCAAGAACTATATGGAACAGGAGTGATGATATTGGTCATCTTTGTTTTGTTCACGATTTTAGGGTTTTTGGGAGGGGTACTGGGAATCAAACTCATGACCTTGAGCTTGCTAGGCAAATGCTATCCTGCTGAGCTATATCTCCAGCCCCTTATTCCTGATTTTAGAGTGAAAGCATTCAGCTTTTGTCCATTTCATATGATGTTGGCTGTTGGTTTGTTATAGATAGTCTTTATCAGAGTGAGATAAAGACAATGTATTCCAATTTTCTGTAGGGTTTTTATCATAAGATGATCATATGGTTAATCAAAAATCAATAGCATTCCTGGACACAAACCACAAGCTCACTGAAAGAGAAATTAGGGAAATAACACTTTCACAGTAGCATTCAAACAAACAAAAACCTAGGAATCAATCTTGGTGAATTGATAGTGAAGAAAGTATAAGACTTCATTGAAAATTTCAGGACTCTGAAAAAGGAGATCAAAGAAGATATCAGAAAAAAGAAAGATACTCTTTGTTCTTGGGTAAGAAAATATAATGAAAATGGCCATGCTTCCAAAATTGTTACACAGATTTAATACAATCCTGACCAAGATACCAATAGATGATCCACAGAATTAGAAAAAATAACCCTAAAATTCATTTGGAATCAGAAGTAACCTAAAATATCAAAGGCATTGTTTTCCATCCTTTGACTTTCACTCTGAATTTCTTTTTGAATTAAATAGGTTTCTTGTATTCAGCATACTGTTGGATTTTGGTTCTTGATCCATTTTGCCAGTCTTTCTTTTGATTGGTGAATTTAAACTATTAACATTGATGGTTATAATGATATGTATTGATTTATCCCCATCATGTTATTTTCCTATTGTTGGCTCCCTTCCTCTTCCCCAAACCCTAATTAATTGCTTGCTTTGCATGGTGGTTCATTCTGTTGGGGTTCATGAAGTTGTAGTCTTTGTAATCTCTTTCTAGAATGTCCTTCAGAACATTTGTTTGAGATAGAGTCCTCCTATGCAGTTCAGGTTGGCCTTGAACTCACTGTAGTCCAGGATGGCCTTGAACTTGCAACAATCTTTACCTCAGCCTCCTGAGTACTAGAATTACAGGCATGCACCACCACACCCAGCTTTCAGAACATTTTGGAGTGCTGATTTGGTGTTTATGAATATCTTCAGGCACTCTTTGTCATGGAAATATCTTGTTTCTCTACCAGTTTTTTGTGTGTGTGGGGGGAGGATACTGGGAATCAAACTCACAATGAGGCAGGTACTATGCCACTAACTATATTCCCAACCTTTCTCCATTTGTTTTGAGAAATAGTTTTTTTTTTCTTTTATTTCCCAAGTTTTATTCAAGAACTCAAAAAAAATACACAAAGAAACTTTAATTCTCATCTTCCTCTTCCTCTTTGTCCTGGTTAATCTGGAAATAACATAGTTTGTAACTCTCTTTGCTATTAGAGGCTACGTGCAACCAACCATGTAGTGTTGCAACCTCAGATGTTTTCTGGGTTGAAGAATGGTGAGAGGATGAGAAAATAAAGAAGAGACAAAGCTGGGTCAGGTGGAGCCCTTACTTTCCAGATGGGAGAAAAGGAACTGCCCCCTCACTGAAGGGGAATTTATTTATACATTTTAGCAACTTAATGTCACATGACACCCTGTTGTCCTAGCAACCCACTGTTCAGATTGTCTGGGAGCTAGGTGTTCTCTGGGCTGAAGCAGCTTCTTCACATGGATTGGCCCAGGTACTCTTTGTTCTTGGGATGGCCATGCCCCAGACTTGCATGTGTGGTCAATTCCAGCTTCAATGGCTCCCAACAATGTATGTTATTGTTCTTCAGATACTTTTTGGTGAGGTATTTCAAATACCTTTTGGAAAAAGACACCTTGGAAGACACACTGATCTTGCTCTTGCTCCTTTTAATGGTGACCACACTTCTGCTGAGATTCCTGACTGTGCAGTTCACCTTGATTCTCTCCTGGAAAAATTGTTTGAAATTGACAGCATCCATGATTCCATCTTCCACATGATGTGTACAGTCAGGGGTGAACTTAAAGAGGTGCTTCATTTTTTTTTTTTTTTTTTTTTTTACCAACCGCTCCCTCCTGGGAGACATCTGAACCTAAATAACTCACCAGCCACAGCATCCACAGTATCCACTGCTCCATTCTAATGGTGCGTCTCTCTATGAAGGCCTTTGGGGTCACCAGTCATCACCGTGTGTCTATAGGTTCCAGTCACCCCTCCCATGCAGTGAGTGCTGGGTAAGGGAGAAATCACTGCCTGCCACTTCTTTTTCACTGAAACCTCTCTCTTCACTCTCCCCATGAGTTTGAGTCCTTGCTTCAGATCCTTCCTGGGTCCTGGAGCCCACTTCTCTCCTTCTCTTCCTTATGTTGCTACATTCTGATGTCTGGATACCAAATCTTTCAGACGCTTGTGCTCTGCTGCTCACCACTCTATCAACCCCAACAATTTGACTTATAAATGTGTGTGTACATGTGTCAGTGTAAGATGACACCCTAGAGAGCAGAATCCACTAGTATAGGTGTTGACTGTACGTACTATGAAGAAGACATGTTCAATGTCAGATGAAAGGGTGCACAGCAGTGGATGTGGATAGAATCCCATTTGTCATCAACTGAGAACCAAAGATTCAAGATGATAGTTATTTGTGTTTAAGAATGATATATGTGGGGGTATAGATACAGAACAAGTTTATTTATTTATGTATTTATTTTGTGATGCTGGGGATGGAACTCAGGGCTTCATGCATGCCAGCCAAGTTCTCTATCATTGAACCACATTCCCAGCCCAGAGCAGTCTTAAAATTGCAAAAGGAAGGCATAAAACAGGAGAAGTCAGTCTCATGTGTTCAGTACCTAGTGGAAGTCAAGTCAGTTGAATGAAGGTTCTAGCAGAAAGGCAGTGAAGGTAGAACTGGAGTGGGTGTTTCTAATGGCATGGCTGGAAAGTAAGAGATAACTGTGGCTCCACAGTGCCCCGCTGGCAAGGTCACTGGCATCAATGACCACATGAGAAACCCAAGCAGCCAAGTCTGGTTCCCTCAAGCTTTTACTTTAGGTGATTAATTCCCTGCTTTGAATAAGGCACAGAGCTCCATTTTATTTTATTTGTTTCTTTTTGGTACCAGGGATCAAACTCATGACCATGTATTTGCCAGGAAGGTGTGCTTATGTCACTGAGCTAAATCCCCAGCCCCAGAGCTCCATTTTATTTTATTTTATTTGGTACCAGGGCTAGAACTCATAACCTTGTGCTTGCTAGGCAGATGTTTATGCTGCTGAGCTAAATCCCTGGCCCTAGAGTTCCATTTTAAAGGAAGGGGAAAAAAAACCCTCAGGCCAACTTAGGTTATTTTCAATATAATATCACTTAAACACATAAAAGCAAAACACAGTATAAAGTTTTTATTCTGGGTGTCCTGCATCAATAAAACAAAAAGTGTATGAATCAAATGTACACTACATGGTACAAGCCATGGTAGTCTTAATGGGCTATGTGGATGTGATAAGTGGTGTGGATTTATTCAAGCTAAGTCACCACTTGCATAGGGAAGGAGTGAGTAGATACTGACTTGGGCTCCCTGAAAACATTACAGTGAGATGGAGATGAGTGGGGACCTGTTTCCTTTCAGTATCTTAGGACAGAATACAGGAGCTGTTCTCACTACTCATTTGAAACAATGAACTTTAGGGCTGCATAATTGACGTGTAGTGAACTGCATCCATTTAAACCATAGGATGCTATGCAGATTGTTGAAAAATGCAGTGATTTATGAAGCTACCATAACATTTTCTAATAATTTATAGAATCCTACAGATGTATTCTTTTGCACCTGGCTTTCTTCACTCAGCAAGCTGGTTTTGAGTTTCATTCATGCAGTAGTATGGCAGTATTGTGTTCTTTTTACCGAATAGCGTTCCATTGTATATCATATCTCTTTTTTCAGAAGAATAGATTGTAATAGCCATTTTATTTTAAACAGAAGTGTTAAAATTATTTCTTCATAGTTTGTAAGGGAGAACTTGCACATCATATTATTTATTACAGATTGCTGGAGTGTGTGCTCTCTATAACCATGTTATGCCTGTTACAGGGAAAGGGCATCATTATGGCCTAATTAAATTAGATTTCTGTTTTAGATAAAAGAAAAGTTATTGGCTTCCTGCCTGCCATGCCATGAACTCTTGCCCCTCACCCATGGCACCCTGCTATGGAGCAGCCAACTACAGACCGCAACCTCTCTACAAACTATACCTGCTGTAGGTTCTGGGTCCCATGCAAACTTCTAGGAAACAAAGATGAATGAGCGGTGATGACACTTGGGCTTAGTGAGGATGAGCAACACGATTACAGAAGCTATGAACAGAAAGAACTGAGCTTTGGAGACCTAACAGCTTATGGCTCTTAACCCTACAGCAGGATGTTGCCACTTCAAATATTTGAACATTTCCATGTCTTATTACCACATCTATTTGTTAGACTCTCTTTCTGGACAGAGGACCCCATGATTTGCCATCATAAAAGATCAACTTCCTGTACTAAGATGGAATGTCTGCCACCAAAATGGCCTGATTGTTGGTACTATGGTATGAACACATAAAAGCCAAACCTTATAGATCATAGATGTAAAAATTCCTGAAAATCTTAACCTGTGTAAAAATTGCCACATATATTTCTTTAGTAGATTTAGAATAATTGCATTTCTAGTAAGGCTTTTGAAATATTGAGACATCTCATGGAAAATGGATCTCTTTTCTCTTTTAAGAACAGTGTATATTTTTAAAGAAGTTAATTGAAAACAGCATTATTTCCTTATTGACAATAGATCAATAATATCATTCTAGATGGTTAAGCACCCTTCTCTAAAGAATATATTCAGGTGAGAAATCAAAAAAAAAAAAAAAAAAAGAAAAGAAAGGAAAGAAAGAAAAGAAAAGAAAGAGAAAGAAAAAGAAAAAAAGAAGAGATATTTATACCAGGGAAGTGCTTTATTTATAAGAATAAAATATGTTTACATAGTCCATGGTACTGGTCTTAGCAGAAATCTTGGCATTGAGGAGAATGAAGACTTGTGCTCAGTGACTGGGAAGATAATTCTTCAGTCTGAGAAGCAGCATTGGAAGCAGAGGAGCTGTCTCCTGGCTGTGTGTTGATGTCACTTGGTAAATGCAGGGGAAAGTAACTGAATGGCGATCCTCGAGCACATCCTGGGCTATGGATTAGGGCAGCCACAACAGGCTGACACCACTGTCTTTGGTTCTTGGTCTTCTAAGGCCAGCGGGCAGATTCAGGCCTTTCTAGAAAAAGCCAGCAATCTTTGCAAAGATCACGTGAAGTTCCAGCAGGGCTTCTGCTTGTGACCACTATCCCCACTGAGGAGGTCAAGCAAGGACAACAAACAGCAAAAAACTCTGGGCAAAGATTGAGAAAGCAGACAGGGCAAGAACTACTATGTTAGAGCATCAGGAAATCAACAGATAAAGGCCATCCCAGCCGTCCAGACCCGTGGACCTGCACAGAGCCAGAAGCACACAGCCCTGGCTTGTATGCAGCCACGTTTGTGGTTTGATGCCCCGCTGGATAATTTACTTGTCCTCTGAAAACCCTGTGTGGTTGAAAGCTTCCCCTCCTGACAGCAGGGCCAAATCAGGTACTCTGTGAGCTTTGACTCCTGTCAACCCCGAATCCTCCCATTATATCAGGACCTCAAGAGACACAGCACCTGACGCTATGGGCCACAAGCTCTTCTCTCTGGCCTGCTCTCGCTCTGGGGAAGGTACTTTTCCTTCTAATAAATCTTACTCTTATCACTCCTGGAATTCTGCTCAGTTCTTTGTGATCTAAGAACCTGGTAATGTCCCTTTCTGGGCCCCTTTGCAGTAATGCTATCTACTCCAGGGTCCCTTGAAGAGGAGGCATGTTACTCTTCAATGATTAAAGACATTCTGAAGTAGTTTTTCCTGTGGCTCTTCCTTATGAGATGCTTGGATCATGAATTTCACAAAAACAGTTTTTTGGTTTTCTGGTATGAATTCAGGAAAAGTCTCATTTTGTTAGGTATCAGTGTGAGCATGGAATTGTGTGTGGAGTTGTTCCCTAGTGACGTCGTGTAAACGTGCAAATCTTTGGCTTTGCTCACTGTGTTTGTAGTTTCTCTGATGAGAGGGTGATCACATTGTCCCTGGCAGGGCATCTCCTGGAAGTCATTCAAAAGTGCAAGAGACTGCACCACAGACAGTGGTGATGGAGCGGAGGGTGTGCCCCAGAAACCCACCAATCAGAGCTCTTCTTAAGAAAATCTTGAGGTACAAAGCTCACCAAGGTCAAGCCAACAAAAAATGTCTTTAATGTCTCTTATCCTTCTTTTAAATTTTATTATTTTATCAAAGTAAGATTAAATTTTATTTACAGAAAAAAGTGAGGGAGAGATAGAAAGCCATTCTGATAAGTGTGGGGCCCAGAGCTGGGTGATAGGGAAAAAGGCCTGGAGTCATATATTAACAGAGTGAGGTCATGGTCCCTCCTTCTAAGAGTTGAATGGTTTGGTTTTAGTTTGGGATCAACATTGCAACCGTCAGGATGCACAATATTATAAAAGATAGGTTTCTGATTGCCTCTGAGTTACATTCTCTGAACTTTGCAAAAGTTACTCTTCTAAATTTTAAAGGTCCTATCTTCAATTTATTAAAATTGAAAAGTGCTTCCATTTATCCCTAGAGAGGCACAATTCAGTGTTCCCTCGTAGAAGAGTGAAAGTTCCCAAGATTGCCCTATGTAGCAAAGGTTCAGTGGCATTAAATTTTATTTTTAATTGACAAATAATTGCATATGTTTATGGGATGTAATATGACATTTCAACACTGGTATACATTGTGGGATAATCACATTAAGGTAATTAGTGCTTCCATGGCCTCGAATAGTTATCATTTCTTTGTATGAGAATAAGATAATGTATTACCTATGTTGAAATCTTCTCTCTCTTTCTACACAGACAACCCTTGCTAGATCTTGGAACCTTTTCATGGTGCCCAAAATGCTAGCTGGCAAAGCCATCTGAAGAACCTCAAAGGTCTTTACACATGTTCTAGA